GGGGGGGGGATTCTTAGGTGTTGGTGTTTTTATTTTTATGTGTATGTGTTTTATTAGGTATAACATCGCTGTGTTATTTGTTTTATAAAATCGGTTTGGGTATTTTGATTTATTGTATATTACCTCTAATAACTGTGACAGATATTTTTTTTATTGATTATTAGTTCAAGATTCGCTTATCGCGTTATTCCTACCTAACTAATAGGTCCATATAGCACAGTCGGCGTCCCTTTCTTTATCCGCGCTAACCTTGTCGAGTGTTACGCCGAATGAGCATTATACAGTTTATCGTGGTAATACAGTTCCATCCTAGTTTGTATCCGTCGTTTGGGCTTTGTACAGTCTTAAAACGGCGTACCGCTTCAGATTGTACATCGCCCCCCGTTGGTACATATATATGTATTTATGTGTATGTGTACATATATATATATATACATAATACTATGCTTGATTAGACATAATATTGCTGTGGAGTAGAAGACACGTCCTTTTTTAAAAACGGAACTTCCTAAACTTCACCGGAAGTGAAATGTTTTTTGGTTTTTGTCTTTTGAATAATTAATTAAATTTGTTTATTGTTTTGATTGATTGGATATTGTTATTATTACCGTATTAACTGTGTCAGAAAAGGTGTTACGCTTTTATATGAATCTGTGAATGGGCCAAGGGCGACAACTCGACAAAGGTTGTAGGATTGTACTTAAGTCTTTGAAATCATTTTCATATACAAATGTTGTTATAAATTTCCGTACACACTGAGACTTATTCACAAAATATCTACTCGTTGGAATGTTATTTGTTGGGAGGATTCTGGCATAGAGGTGACCAGAATTTTATATTGGTATATGACCGACATTTTTCGATGATTCGAATTCACTTAGAAACCATTACATCTGAACTCATACTTATTGGAATGTGGCTAAATATGTCTATTTAGATGCATGGTATTGCTTTCATTATTACAATTCATTATGTATTGATTATTTCGTAATTAATCTCGAGGAACATTAAGCCACGTTTCTGTATTGCAAAGACAAGAATGTGAAGTATTAGTCTTAGAGAATATTTCATCATTCTTGAAGTAATCATTCCTAAAGTGTACCCTGAAATAATTTGATATCACATTATGTCCTGTACGCTATGAAAATACTTTATATTATACATTTGTACAACAAAAGGCTAAAGCAGTGCAGTGTGGCTTATTATCAAGTTTTATTAATTTAATAATAGTTCATTACAAAAATAGATCAATCTGATTTGAACTCCTTCACTACAGAAAATTGTTTTTTTCACAAATTAATCACAGAAAAATATTGATTTTTATCATTTCGGAAAAAAATGAATCTAGTGGCATGATGGTCATAGCCCTACATATCTTAGGAATAATTATAAATGACATACATTTTAAATCAAAATATCACTCTCTACTCAGGAAACGACAAACATATGTGCGTATATTATGGCGGGTTATACAACTAGAGTTTTGAATAAAAAAAAATAACGAAGGTCGCCTTTTATTAGTTATTGTTTTCCAACATTTTCGTATCCTGTGATGTATATTCCATAACAAAATATAATTATTTTTGATTAACCTTTTCAGAGACGTATAAATACATTATTATACGTCTCTGACCTTTTCAACCACATACACATGTACTTTCTTGTTTACTTATGTGTGTATAATGCCTGAAAATATTAATTTGCCTGCGCATACAAATGCCACACGATGCCTCGTTTTCATTTTACAAAGAAAGAAACCGCGCATGGATGGAACTGTATAATCGAATCTGGAGCTGCAAGGAATGCCCTCTTCTTTACAAATTAACGTGGATTTATTTGAAACATTAGAATTGTACATGCACGCGTATTCCCTCATTCTACAAATTTAGTTCGTCCAATGCACGCGTGTTCTCTCACTTTACAAATTTAGTTCGTCCAATGTACGCGTGTTCCCTCACTTTACAAAGTAAGCTCGTCCAATACACGCGTGTTCCCACACTCTACAACTTTAGTTCGTCCAATGCACGCGTGTTCCCTCATTCTACAAATTTGGTTCGTTCAATGCACGCGTGTTCCCTCATTCTACAAATTTGGTTCGTCCAATATTCGCATGTTCTCCACTCTTCTTAGTTAGTTGTACGTCCAACGCACGCATGCTCTGCAAAGTTAGTGCGTCCAAAACAAGTTACACAATGCTCAATTGCTAACATTTATAATGCGGGGGAGGCGTTTGGAAGAGCGTTGTAAATGTAAGGATTATTGGAAACAAATACACATTACACGCACACATGTTTATTGTTCTTAAATAAAACATCCATCCACGTGGTTTACTTGTCAGATAATACATGTATGCACGTGGTTTACTTGTCAGATAATACATTAAATAACAATGGCAACTAACGAAAAGCGTTCTTACATCGCACACGTGGTAGAACATTAATTACAGTATGCATTGAATCATTTCTTGTTCTAAACTCCGGTACTTGCCCGGTATTTCTCTTGCATTGTCACAAGAAAACATGGACTGTTCTTGCATTTCGTGACTTGAAAATTAAGCCTACTTTGGTGTAATATTGCAGGTTTGAAAGAAGCAACACATGACAATGTACTCGTGTTTACGTATACATTCAAAGAGAGACATGCTAGACAATCAACCCTTTCACCACTGTATACCAAAATGGACTCATCCAGAACAATGCATGGTAGAGTCTACTAAAGCTGCATAGAGATGAAAGGGCTCATATACCGAAATTGCAAAAGACGACAAACTTGTGACATCGTGGAGGTACAGAAGGGTAGATAACTATATCGCTGTGTATGTCACATGGTACAGAAGGGTAGATAACTCTATCTCTGTGTATTACACATGTACATGTATAGTACACCTTACTCTAGCGGTAACTCCTTTAATTAAATCGGTAACAGGGAAACAACATTCCTTAGTTTTTTAATCACAAATACATATGTATATAAAGTCTCGAACCAGATCGATGACGAAATTGAAAGATTGAGGAGGGATTGATTATGCATTATTATAAAAAAAATAAGATAAATGTTGATCAATGTATCGATTTCATCGATAGCATGAGTTTTTTTTATTAAATTAATTGAGAAATACGATTAAAATACAAAATGCAAGATCCGTATTACAATGTATGAACATCCGACTACAATTAAACAGTACAGGTGTGGGACAGGAGGGTTTACCATGTTCAACTAGAATTAGGACTGACACCGACAACTAACTTAATCAATTATTATGTATTGTTGATCACTCCATAATCACATATCACAGCTTGTTCAATGAGTAACGTAAACTATGTTTGTCAAAAAATATATACTAAACAAATCTATTCCAAACCGGTACAAAAACATATCTAACTACATATACACCTATACGCATGCCTATCTACATGTAATCAAAGCATTGTATCGTATTGCATATTCATTTTAACTACATATACATACATTGTTATATAATCATGTATAACTTTAAAAAAAAAATGTCAATACATTTACATACTCTTATTTAATTTAATTTAATTTTTTATTTATTGTTTTCTTATTACATGATCATATCTTTTCATATTCATCATCTCTAATAAGAAAATATATATATATTATACGTCCTTATATATTTGTACATGTATTTACATGATCATACATTTTGCATACAATGATATTAAATCACATAGGCCTAATTATATCTACACATATACATATTTTGTAAGAAATAAAGGCTTTTTCTTATGTTACATTAAATATACTTTGAAACTACCTGGGGACAGGGCATATGACGCTATATAAATTAATAAAGTGTACATTTTTCTGTGAATAGACATACAAAATGAGACCGGGGAGATAACTCAAACAAAAACAAACAAACCACGCAATACATGACAATATCTTACCGAACGTTTGATTAAGGTGTTATGTGTCAATTATCTATGAGTAAATACCAACAATGAGACAAAACCAGCATGTCTATAATACGGTAATCATTAAAAGCATGGTATAACTACAAGTCATTTCCTCGCACAACTTATACACGATATTGTCACAATAAAAATAACAATCGTAAAGCTATTGATACATTAACAATAAAAGAGGTGGGGCAGCCTGGTTTTACTTACTAATATAAACATACACATGTAAGGGAGATAATTTCAAAATTAAACGGGAACATTGTATGTATGAATGATGTTGGTATTACACACAGGGAAAACGAATTATAAATCAATCCATAAATTCACAAAAGTAATCAATTGTAAAGCATGTTGTAATCAAATGGGAGGTAATTATGAATAATGCTATCATCACACATCAAGGAGGGAATACAATTATGTGGTGATCACACACAATGGGTCTAAGTATATCCTGTTGTCGTGACAACATAACGGAAAAAAGTATAACAACAGTGGGGCTACAAGAGTCAAACATTTGCAGCAGTGTTTTGTATGACACAATCATATGTTTCGGACGTGTCCAATATTCTCTTTGAGTCTCTTTAAAACAAAACATCCACATTTTGCAGTCCAACTGATTCTCCATTATAGGCTGGCGGTGGCCCCTGCGAATCGTGATTGTCTGGTCCCCTGTCCGTCTCGTTACTGAAGTGTACGACTGCACTCGTTTGCTTTACCTCTGTTTTATCCTCATCCTCTTCCTCCTCCTTGATGACTGTGTAGTCATCTTCAGCCTGTTTGTTTTTCTGCTCATTCTCTTTGTTTTTCATCACAGCAGCATTAACCAACGCTGTAAATCGATTACCGCCCGTGTTTGCAGTTGTGTCGGAGCCTGCTGCATTCTCTCTGGCCTTTGCCATGATTTCCTTTAGCCTAGTTTGTCTGACAGCTGTCTTCCATCGGTTTCTAGCTCCGACCTGGCTTCCCCGTCGTTTTATCTCATCACGATTAGAGGTGTTCCGGATCATTTTAGTTATCGTAAACAGAGACGGACGACCAAAACGGGCGAACTTTTTCTGAATATCATTCATTTTTGTGGCGTCCTCGTCAGTGCTCCCTTCAGTAACACCCTTAGTGCTAGCATTATCATCGTCAGCTATAACAGTTTGAAGTTTCTGGAAATTCCGAAGAAAATTTCTACCAAGAGTGCTCTTGTGTTGCTCCTTTCGTCTTCGATCAAACTTTTTCCAAAGTTGTTTCCCCTTCGTTTGTACAACAGGGGCTTCCTCATCTTCGTGCTCACTTACTATACTGAACTCCGATACGATGGATCGCGCGTCATCATCAATGGCAGCCGATTGCATATCTCGTACAAGTTGTAATCCTTCATCGACACCAATAGAACGCTCGGCCTCATCGCCACCACCTTGTAGCGATTGTCTGATACGGCGTTTGGCTTTGATTTCAGTTGAAGCCAAAATATGCAGCAGGGTTGCCATTCTATGGAATAACATACAGATACATTGTACGAGCAACATCATTCCGAAAACAATGGTAAACGCGAAACTGATTGGTTCGACGAAGCCTTGATCGTCCCCTGTGACGGTTTTGCATGGCAACGGTATGGAAAGACTGTTGTCGGCCGCATTGACAACCGTTAAAACAAAGACGATGGTGACGAAGAGAGCGTTGATGAGAAGAAAAGCCAATGAAACTTTGTTCCTCAACTCGATTAGCTCTTCGGCAGTAGCCTTCTCCTTCGCGACGTTTTTCTCCAGGGGGTAGAGATATTTATCTATAAAGTTTTTCCAAAATTCTGTTTCATCTCCGCTCATGCGATCGATAGCGCCATCTTTAAGGGTTTTGTCGTTGATCCAGTAGGGGTTTACAAGGTCATTTCTCTTAGTGTCAACTACCGGTTGAAACACAGGATTATCTGGAAGTTTAACAAAATAACACATTCATCAAAACAACCGCATTGGCACATCCTGGCGGAGAGAATATCTGATAATGAAAAATAAGTTTTGAAAAAGATACTGATGGTATTGAATGCATTTATTTAACTGTATTATTTGCTCTTCCATCGGTCTTATTGTTGTACTCAATTTAGATCAGATATTACAAAGAGTTTTACCCTGAGGAATCAAAACCCATTTTTATGAATACAAATCTTGTGTAGGAATTAACAAAAGTATTTTATGTCAACTGTTTCTTGACTTAAATAAAATAGTAGATATATTTACGACGTTCGCCTGCTCCCTCAAATAGATCCATTGCATGTGAAAAGGGTGCATCGCCCTGCTCAACTGGTTCCGCTTCTGGTAAATAATTCATAGACTCATTTCTTGAAGTGTTGCGAGTGGCGACTGTTATGCGCTCTTCCATTTCCGCCAGACGAAACAGGATTTGTTTAAATTTGTCATCTTCTGTGTGCTCATTGCTCGGGCAACAAAAACATCTATAACGAAAAAAGCGAAAAAATACCATCATGTCGAAATACAAGATTCCTACGTGAACTCAAACACAATAAAAGGTTACAAACGGTGAAAGCAGAACCCAAAGGCAGAGAAATCACACAACCCAGAAAAATGTCAGTAAACCAGGCGCTAGATATGAGAAGAATTTGATTATCTTTCTTTTCAAATTAAAAACGGTAGCCAGGAAAAAATAATTTAAGACACGGTGATTTTTTTTATATTGGATGATTGTCTCCTCCTCGAATATGAAGTCATGTTAAAAAAGCGTCTCTGGAAGNAAAAATCGGGATATTTCGAAGTAGCAATGAAATACTGAATGACATTTTACATTTTAAAAAGCACAGGGGAGGCTGGAATGCTAACACTGAAGAAAGGACAGTACACAATTGTGAAATTATAATCGTGATGTTTAAAAGATAATTCTGCAGTGAGTTACACGGATTGCCATACTTTAGTTATTTCATTTATTATGAAAAGTTCTTTTTACACAACCAATTAGAGTTTCTATGTGACGTTTCGATGACTACTATGGTACATGTATGTACACTGTCACCTTCATCAGACTTTTGTACATACGTTTACAGCGTAGCCGAATCGACATCGATTTTGTGGACAACTCGTACACATTTTACACCTTTGTGTGCATACGCTTCACTGGTCATTTGTCTGATGAAGGTGACAGTGTGCATACCGTACTAGTCATCGAAACATCACATAGAAACTCTTATTGGTTGTGTAAAAAGAACTTTTCTTCATCCATACTTACCAACCTGAAGAAAATGTTTATACATTTCTCATTTATTATTCAAATGTTTATATTCGAGATCGGAAGGAAGTTGACAATTATTACGAGGATATAAGTTTAAATTTTGGAAGATCAATGAGATGCATGTAAATTGAAACTCGAGAATGAATTATAATGAATACATCAGAAATGTAAAATTAACAGTCGGGGGAAGTATTTTATCTCCCTTTGTATTACAATGGAGCCATAATAAAAACCGAATCCGAATGTGTATAAAAAAATACATATATCTATTATTGATATGACTGCACAAAAATAATTCATGTCCGTTGTACTGAAAAAAGAAATGTATTTATAGTCGTTTTAGAAAATACGAAAATATTTGAGTTCAAAATTTAGAGTTCCACTTGTCAGAATATGATATAGATATATACATATAACAATTGAACAGTGTTCTTTATTTACATACCAAATACGTAAATCCTATTGATCGGATATTTTTGGACTCTTTGACACAAATAAGTAGATAAACATGAATCAAACGATCGTGAGTTATGTTAATGCTTAAACACAATGATGTAGTGTTTATATATTCCTGAATTCCTGTAAATTGCGAGTGGATTTTATGTGTTAAACATGTAACTAATATAATAAATACAGTCGTACTGTCAAAACCGAAACCATACATCTACCCATCACAAACACACATCTACCCATCACAAACACACATCTACCCATCACAAACACACATCTACACATAACACAACCGCACTTCTCTCTAACAGTTGTGATAAATCAATTGCTGATTTACCTGAACAAGTTCCCAAACGAGAAGGCGTAATCCGATGAAGGATTTCCGGCTCCACCATCCGCAGGCAACTGTCTATTGATCCAGTCTTTTACCTGCCCTAACCTCCCGTCATCTTTCTTCTGTTCCGTAGGTTTCTGAGGGGTGGTCGGTTGTTTGGTCTCCCTAGTTCCCCAGGAAACCACGTGCAGGTTGCCCAGAGAGTAGATCATTAGCAGCATGGACATTGAGGGAATAGACAGGAAGTAAAGGAAACCGTGTAGGACGCAGAAAAATTCCTACAAAGTGATATATAACATATCAATCATGTTTTGATAATAAACACGAAATCTTAAAATACAAACCCTTTTGTTTAAACGATTACTGTATTAAAATGCCCGTAGATAACAAGGTTCAAATAAAGTAAATATTTGCAAATATGTCACGCACGTGAATATAGCACATGCCATTTACACATGATGTTTACATTTTTCACTAAGAAGTTTATTTCTCCCAATTTATATTTTTGAATAAATGAATATCAGCTTTCCGTTATCATACCAACAGTTTACGATCACTGGTTCTATAACAGCCCAAATATTTTTTCATTTTACACTGAGTAAAGTGTTTTATATATACATGTATGCATAGGGTGGCGAATGACAATTACTGTAATTGTTAAAGTAAATGTTAGGACGAGAACCTGACGAAAAACAAAACGATTATGCGGTATTTCTTTGGCATGGATTTTGAGGGTGAGTAAGTTGCAAGCTAAGTAGTGTACAGAGTTATTTTACATAACGTAATACATATGCCCGAATGTTAGTATTAAGGATCAATCCAACGTCTTATCACAGTTTAATATAGCACAAGGTCTACAGGTGGTGCTCATTTATAAACCAATTCAACACCGACAGTCAGTTAAAATATTTAAAATAACATGGTAATGTGGACCAGGGTCATGTTGTTCTAACGGTGATTAACTGAATAAGTTAATTCTAAATGTGTGTGTATTTTACAACACAACCATTGAATTAGTTACAAGAGTAAATTAACATTCAAAATTGTGAGATATTACTTTGTACATTGACGAAAGTTTTAAACATGTCGTCAAACAGTGACTAAGATAACCACCTTTTGCGCAACTGGACCCTGACAATTAAACACTCCGTACCTGAGGATGGAGGCATGCAGAAAGGACAAATACACCAGCCACAAACAGTAAGAACACCGTGGTGACAGAGCAGAACCCTGCCCCCGCAGCTTCTTTCAGTAGTCCGATAAACACGACCATCATCAGCAAGGAATACACGGTGGACAAGATGGCTGAATACGCCAACTGTAACACAAACAGTACAAAAATAGCTAAAACCTCGTATAAAGGATTTAAAGTATAGATGTATCACACATGAATACAATTTCGTAAACAAGATGGTTAAGTACGCCAACTTGTACACAATGTAAATGCAAACTTTCAGCAAAATGGCAAGTGCGGGTTTTCCTCTACAGGATCATAATAGAGAGAAATCATATACATGCAAAACGTAAAATTGCGAAGAGCATACTTGCTAATTTTGTTGGAATAGTCTTTTGTACACTTACTGAACTTGCTCTTCTGAACAGATATTGACTTACCTGAGTTTGTGAGGAGGCTACGAAACACAGAATCACCATCAGTATGACAGGCGCCAGGTTGATACCAAACGCCGTCCAGACATTGATATCAGGAAAGCCAGTCGTGATAGCACCGAGGATCATCAAGAAGATGGTTCCAGGGGTCAAAATGGAGGACACCATCAGAAACGTTTGATACAAGATATACAGCATGGATATATCCTCGTTCTTTCGTGTGACATTTTTCCAGTCCATCAACAGGTCCATGATATTTGCCATGGTGGACGGTGTCCATCGTCTCCTCTGGTTGTAGAATTCGTAGAATCCCTCTGGGGCATAGGTCAAGGCGTCCGAGGCGGCAACATATTCCACACGGTAACCCTGCTGTAGCAGTAGTGTACACAACCACCGGTCCTCACCTTATAGACACGACAAAAGCATGATCAATAAGTAGGAAGTCTTGCATAACGCCATTGTCCATCATCGTAGACCTATGGGATCTAATTGATCAGCTCTGTTAATATTGCGGTAAATTGACCTCATCAAACGATGCAATATAAGTTGAATCAGTTGGAAAGATGGTAAGTTACCATGACACTAATGAGAGGAGCAAATACGGTGTTATTTAAGGTAAAGTTATTATGCTCCTAATGACACCCGACCAAATGAGCCGCGGGTTGTTCGGAATGTGGTTACTTACCTTATATGTAATCCCACTAGACATCTAATAATCATTTGGTGTTATTGAGAATGCTCTATTTAGTTATTTGTAAATGAATTTGATCATGGATAATGTCTAACTAGGAGGCACGGTAGTCTAGTGGTAGGACGCCAGGCTCGTGACTGAAGGGTTGCGGGTTCGAGTAACGGCACCGCACTGTGTTGTATATTTAAGCAAGATACTTTACTCGACTTGTTCCAGTGTCTACTCAGCCTTAAATGAGTACGTGGTTGGGCAGTGCTATAATTGTAGAATGCTAGCTGTGAGCGCCGAAATGGCAGCACCGGCTGTATGCTCCTCAGGGAGTTGAGATAGGTATTGGCTGGTTGCAAAGGCCCTATAACCACGGATAATAATTTGTGAACCGCTTTGAGACGACCTACGAACTAGGTTGTGTAAAAGCAGTATATAGAAACCTCGAAATATTATTATTATTATTATTACTTTACCTTGATCATATTGGACGTAGTGAGCCGGTTCCGTTGGCAGTGTGGTATATCTCTTCATCACGTTGTCATCCATGAGTGCCTTTCCTCGGAAAAGACTGAAACAGCCAGGACTACACAGCACACATCCTAACATGTGCTCGGCCGCCTTCTGAAGCCAATGACTGATCGCGTACTCGAATTTCTGGTACCACACCATAGGACCTGCAAACGAAATTAAGTCAGACATACAGACAACTGAGTCTGTGAAACGTACTCATCGGATTATATTTAATGTACGAGCAAAACAGATAAAGTCTTTCCACCCAAGATTGCATATTTATCAATCCGATAATATAATTTATATCTACCTGAACCAATTGGATGAATGCGGCCGCACGCCGCACCAACCCTCGGATTCTTCTTCATCCTGTCGACCAGTAGCTGCACTGCAGACGGCTGGAAGTCCACGTCTCCATCAAGCGCCAATAGGAATGTGTTATTGGCTATCTTCTCTTTTTGACGTCGACTTTTGTTTGGGATGTTCATCAGACGATGACCCAGGAAGTAGTACATGTACATCACCTACATAGCAGCACGTGTTTAACCATATAAGAATATGTGTATCCGCAACGATTACCAATAAACATTTCGTATGTATTAAAATATACAAAGCAGTAAGATTTGTCACCATGCATATAGCAATGTGAAGCACCTAACATGTAAAATGTACAACTGGTTGTCCCATTATGAGGTACCATGACGATCTGACCACGTGAGAGCTGTTATAAATAACATTTGTATGTTTCTTTGTCTAAAGGTCTTCACTGTGTAACATTTCGTCGACATTATAACGTTTTCGATAACTTACCTGACTCCATCGTTTCCTATGACGTATCTTCGCCTTGTCTTTTAGGTGAGCAATGAGTTTGTTGCCGCCGGGAAGTCTCCAGATCAGCTGACCGCCGTAAGGGGTAGGGATCTTTGTTGGTGGAGGAATATGGATGATGTTACCGTGGACTGCGCTGCAGAAAAAAAATACCATAAAACCTAAAGGTTATCTCCCTTGCATCCGTTTCGCGTTAACTTAAGGCAGCTGCCAGCTGTTTTGTCAATTTCGTTTTGTGTTTATTTAAATACCAATTTAATACCCAATAATAATACATTAAGAATAGTCTCAAAGTGTTGACTATGTAATTGTGCCCAGGTCCCCGTCATTAATATTACTGTACACAGTACCTGGCCGCTATGTCCATCACGTTAACCAACATCTGGACGTATCCGTTGGCGTTATATTCTGTCCCGTCCTCGTCGTGGCCTTCATATGCGTCGTCAAAGAAAATGTGACCTGCAATTCAATAATAGGACAGTTCAGATCTGAGAATCTTGGATATTTCGCCTGCTTTTCTCCATTCGACTGTCAGTTCGTATCGAAATGACAAAGCTGGTATAATTAACTTTGCCCTGTTATTTAAATGCGCAGGAGGTAAATCGATTCTGTTTTCGTTATTTTACCATTTGATAGGTACCATACAAAGATAAAAACAGGTAAACCAGATTACCTTTCGAACATAAAACACAATGTATGACATAAATATAAAACAAGATTTACATTTATACCGTATAATTTAATGCTGTCATAGTGTGTGTTGATATTATATGAGGATTGAACAGCGTTTTACTCTCTCATTGTTGGCATTTCTTCAGTAAATGCTGTTAGCGGAACTTGGAGTTGGAACGTTTATATACGATATCTAATGAGCTGAAACTGACAAGCAACTGATTACAGAAGAAAGAAAGATAACGTACAATGTCTAGGGACGAATAATGATATATCTTTGTGCATACCTTCGAATTCGTAGTAGTCTGGATCTCTGATGCCAAGGTACATCTGAAGGTGACGCCGGGCACACTGATCATCGTCCATTCTACAGAGGGGTGTTGTTATAATTAGTATATTGATTATGATAAAACCTCTATACAATTCCGCCTGTCTCATTAACATCTAAGTGCATCACCATACTTCATAAGTATTTATAAATTCTTTGGTAAGTTTTCTTATCACGTTTTAATGTGGTATTCCTGTCTGTTTAACAAAACACTTTATGTCGTTATACCGTCAACTGATTGGACACACCTTTTTATATACATAGTGATATCAAAAGGTCAAGAAATTAAAGTACACACATAATATAAGGCATTTGCTGACAAAAATGTATACTTTATCTATAGTAGACGAAAATACAGACATTTCATTTTCAAACAAATCATTCGAATATTCAAACAGTTACTTCAAATATTAATTCGACAGACGTCTAACGCCATAATATGAAAGTTTGGTTGAGTTAGAAGCTATGTTAAAGTTAAACTATTTTATCGATGGCTTTAAATTTCTCGAAGAAGAAATACAGTTGTGTTCTTGAACGAGTCACTCTAACTGAACGAATAATAAGCCATAGTCTACACCATAGATAAGCTTTGACAGGATGGATATTTCATCCATTTCTGAGTCATAAATACGTTTTACCTGAATAAGGATTTGAGTATTTGTGTCATCTCTACTTCCGTCTCGTGCCACATGGTTGCGCAAAGGTAGAGAAAAGGTGTGTCATCTTTGCGCAGGAAGGACCATTCTTCTTCCCCGCCTTCACCCTTCATTTCAGTCGGAATGTCCGGGATGGGAATGTCTACCTTGTTTTTCTGTTGGTCCAACAAAATATCACAATTTCAATAATTCAAAATCACCAACAGATGCATCAGAGTGTTAAAGCGAACCCCCCCCCCCTCCCCCGTTACACAGAGATGTTTTTATATTTGTTGCTTAAATATTGAAAGATAGGTGAATATTAAAACATAAAATGTAATAGCTTAGCATATATGCATTTAAGTACTGCATAGAACGCAACATTTATGTCTGTCTCCTTTTGCGGATCACAGCATTCGGTATTCGCTTGTTTTTATTCCAACAGTTCACTTGAGTACACTATCTCGGTAAACCAGTAGACCACAACCACACAGCAGACATATAATAATGCAACTCCACACACTTGTGTTTTTCTAACGAATCAGAAAGCACGAGTTTATTGCGCGGACGAATATATTCACAAGTGTGCGGAGTGAATATATACGTCCGGGCAATAAATGAGTGCTTTCTGGTTCGTTAGAAATACACAAGTGCGTGGTCTTGCTTTTACCACATACCTTCCGTATTTGGTAGAGATCGATAAAAATATTTTATAACCTTTTTATATTTTTTGCAAATACCCGGAACTTTTCAGTTGCCATAACAAGAGGAATCAAATAAAAAGTAGTTCCGACTAGTAGGTAAATACAACATTCCGTATTGCACAAATGCAATACAGAACGTTTGTATTACTTGTATTACTATAACAAGATTCAACAGGTATTTGATACATGTAATACAGTTTACCTTCTCATTTGCTGACTTGAACTCATCGTCCACTCGCCTTCTGTTCAGCAGCATGGACTGGTCGAGTAGCGCTCCACAATACAGAGGTTTAACAAAGATTCTGTAAGGTACAATGTATACTTTATTTTTATTATTTTAGTAGGATCAGATGATTAGGCTCATAAGTACTTGCTTTCTATCGGCACATGCGCAATTATACTATAGGTTATTACTGTAGATACGTTAAATTTGTAATCAATATAAATATATTTAATTTGATTTAAACGTATTTTATTGTAAAACATTTCTGACATAATGTATTAAGATCCTCTGTGACAGTCACCACCAGATGACAATACAATTTACATGTCCACTGATGAATGACTATCAAATAAGATATTTTCGTGGGCCCAACTTTTGTGGTTTCCCCAACACATACCATTCGGTTGGAACATGAATGCGAGGATTACGAGTTACAAATTAAATGGAGAATGGCTTTCGTCAAACTTGTTACTATTTTGTGGACATTATAATACGTTGATGAATATTTCCCAAAAACTTGTATATAACTGTCAAATTAGAAAGTGTCACACTATGAACATTGTTTCTATTTCAGTTCAAAATATACCCGGAGTACCATAACGATACCAAATTGTTATTGTTGATCTACAAATATAGACATTATAATTATAGAAAGGTAGTTTTACTTTTTATTTATATGTTATGTGTATAACTTCATGTTTCTAGATTTTTAGTGTTTCTTACATCATTTTCGTAGTTAAGATTCGTATTGTTACTACGATTTAAGCTTAGTAGTGAAACTTGATTTTGCTAGATCTGTAGTGATACTTGTTACAAAACAGTTTTAGATTGGAGGTGTGACTTGCTACATTTTCTTTCGTATTTATTAGTATTAATTGACTTTTTCCAGCGTAATTATTTTATATTTGTCTATATTTGTACAAGAAGTGCTACATTTTTTGTGTATTTCTGGATCTGTAGTAGTACATATTCCTGAAATTTCTAGATATCTGTACAGTTATTTAAACAATTTTATTTGCGGAAGCAAAACTTGAATAAAAATCATATAAACGCAGAACGTACTTTTCGGTGGCGGCAAGCCTCTCTTTGCTCGGCGACCACACGTGATTCGTGATGAGAAGGAGGGATGAGTACGCTAGAATCCCCGCAATGATGGCGAACTTATAGAAATTGATCTCGTCCACTACGTTACTGGCGTCACCTTCCCAAGTCGGGAAAGGAATCGTACAGGAGGCCACGGTCGATATAGTCGTACTGGAATAGCTACCAAACAGCAGGGCGATCGTAACTGGCGTGGATAACGCCATTGGAAGTGCATAGCCAACCTTATGAGCCAAAATTTTGCAAGCCGCCTTCGCCACTTTGAAGCAGACAATGTCTGAAATGATGTTAACAACGGCAATCAGAAGAGGTAAATACCAACAGGCCGCTTTCCTGTCACCGTCAATCCTAATATCCTCACCTATCGGGGTGTTCATGTGTGGTGCTTGACCATCCTTAAAGTTGTAGAAAACGGAATTAATGCATTCAGTGGTCGAATTACAGTTGACGCCGAAGATCAGTGCTGGCATTACGCTGAAGGTCAGTGCGAGTTTCCACAGCATGGTGAGCAGTCCGATCTTGGTCCGACCGCGTGTGATCATTCTCTTGAGATACGGCAGTCCTGACGAGTCCCTGTCTCCCTTCCTCACGTAGTTTTCCCAGTAGTTTAGCGATATAAATATAGGGGAGACAACCATTATTATAATGAGGTAGAGGTTATCGGATGTTTTGATCGGGTCGTTGTAAACATACAGAACCCAGCAGACCAGACTTCCCACATGTAGGATGCAGGCTATTAAATTCATTAGCCGTGCAAACCCTACTGATTGATTGCGCTCCAGCTTTTTAACACTTCTTGCAGGGTAGAATATCTTCAATATTCCTGGTAGGAGTCCAATGTTCATGCATAAAAGGCACGCGGCGATTGGTTCAAAACTCGGCAGGACTAGAAACACGAAGAAGGACAGGCCAACGGTGTGGAGCGTTTCTGTCACCATTGACTAAAGGAAAATTAAAGATGTGATTTAGCTTGAATAACATATGATATAGTTACTTTATCAATTATGACATCCGGATTTACTTTCTAAAAAGCTTTTAATTTTCAATTTCACAAATTTGCCATGCGACAAAATTATCAGTAATGTTGATGCACGTGTAAAGGTTTTGAAAAGTGACAGAAAAAAACCCATTTACACGTGAATCTACACTACTGATAATTTTGTCGGATGGCAAATTTGTGAAATTGAAAACTAAAACTGTTTAGAAAGTAAAATGAAGAATCAAGATGATAAACACACAATAAACATTAAAACGATTATAAGGTTATAGGATTTTAAAGGACACAGGTAAAACATTATTCTACTCACCGCAAGGAAAGGCAGACATTGCAATTTTCCTGTCTTCTTGAAACATAACCTCCAGAAATATTTACCGAATGTAAAGAAGTATGGCGCTGACAGTACCATATTGAAGGCCCATATCCACGTGACATTCATGCTTCCACCGCTATGGTAGGTCAGTTTGCCGTTAAACGTTTTGTGAGCGGCACTTTTGGCCCCATCAGCTGGCGGGAAAATGTTTGACGTCATCATGACGAATGTGAGTTTAGACAGCACAGCAAAAAGTAACACAATTATAAACATGATGATGAGGACGACAATACGTGCGACAACAGTACATTTATTCCAGCAGTCTATCTCAGAACTCGACACGTTGTCATCAGAGCCAGTTCGGAACACATCCCAAAACAGTTTCTTCCTAAAACATGAGGAAAGTACATATTAGTGAGGAAATCTCCGAAAACAGACTCTTAAGAAAGAAAATAGAATACAACGTTTCTTCAATTTTTTAACTGAAATATGGAGAAAAAAACATCTGATAGTAAACAATATTACCTACGTGTTCATCGGACATTATATTATCCTCAAACTCATTAGTATCTATGCACCCCTAAAAAAGCCATGACAACATCAAACACTGCAGGTGGCTGATATACCTGTCATTTGAAGATTACAGAGGTGAGACACACGACAAAGATGGTCAATTTGACTGTAACGCTTCTCTGCAATTCTTTTAATGAACATCGAACTTTCAAACCAACAAACTTGTAGTGTAGGGACGCTTTTGGCGATACACTATATGAACCCGGTTAACGGATAAGGCCAAGCGAAACCAACATTTGTTTTTTTGTGTTTTTTTGTTTTAGGTCCTTTAAACAACTTTGATCATTAAATAACGTGCCAGGGATAAAACTCATGAAAATGCTCTCGTGCTAAAACGTGGAACCGTGCTCGAAAAACATTCTTGTCACTGTCTTAAACCATGTGGCACGGTCACAAATGTGAAGTGTCAACATTGAAAGTGGTTTAAGGCTTTAAGTATGTCCATTTTTTTCCAAATCATTGACAAAATGTGTTGGTTTATAAAGTTATCACCGGAGCAAATTATTGGGTTTGAGGATGCAAACGGATGCATGGATATGGGTTGAGACCATTAACACTCTGTCATATCCTTCCAAATAACTATGTCAGTTTTGTGACCTTATTGCAGATAGATTTCGTGTAACACGGGGGTTCCATTGGTATATAAATGCATATATTAGGTAAAGGTTTAATTTTAGATGTATTATACAGGTTTCTGTTTTACACGGGATCTTATACAGCAAAAGGTTTCTCAAATGTCATATTTTTGTTAACCAATGTCACGTGACAGTCATTTGGTGATAACTATTTAGTATGTTAATTTGGGAAAAGTTACAATCGTATAGGATTTAAGGCTCGGGGAGTAAATCCCCTTCAAAAATTCATTGTAAATAGATACATCCTTCTTACTCTTTTTGTGTTGATTTTCTACGTGGTAATTCACCAGGTTGAACAGGCGGAGGAGCGTCCGGTTCAGTTTCATGCTCTGAATCAAAAACCTCATCACTCAGATGAGGCGATGAACCATTTGAATCATCCGAATCCTCGTCGTCATCTCTGACGTAAGCAGCGTTTACTTGTCCGTTCGTCATGCTTGCCATGTGAACAGAATCCTTATCCGACATTTGTGTAGATATCTGAGGGAAGAAACTCCCCGTTGGGTTCAGCTGTAAAAGAAAATAAGATGAATCTTTGTTTAAATCCGTGTATTGATGACTAACGCAAAGTTTACGGACTTTTGACAGTAATAATTATAGAATGCTTCGCTATTCTTAATAACACCGAAAGTATGCATTCAAAGCTTTATATAATGGTAGCAGCTCGAATGCTATTTACTTTTAATTGATACTTTTAAGCAATGCAGAGCCGTTGATTAAGTGTTGAGACACAATATCAAACTTGAACTCAGAATAATGTATAAAAATTGAAAAAGGAAGCAGGGAAAACTACAAGGAGGATTAGACCGGGTGTTACGGAAGACTTATAAGTGTCTCCTGCTTCATCGACAACACACGTCATAGAAATCAAGATCAAATACAAGCAATGATACGTCGTCATATCGAGAACTCGGGAGTGACAGCAAAATGTGCAAGGCACTCTAATGAGCGTAATCAACATCATCGACCTTTATGTATCCTTGAGCAACATACTTTACTCCGCTTGTTCCAGTCTACTCAGCTGTAAATGAGTACGTGGCTGGGTAGTGCTAGAATTGTTGAATGTTAGCTGTTAGCACCGAAATGGCAGCTCCAGCTGTATGTTCCCCAGGCAGTTGAGAAATGTACGGGCTAGTCGCAAAGGCCCTATAACCACGGATAATAATTTGTGAACCGCTTTGAGACGACCTACGAACTAGGTTGTGATAAAGGTGTATATAAGAACCTCGAATTATTATTATTATTATTATTTATGTTGGACAAAAATAGCATATTTCCATAGTTTTCATTAACCACCTGAATTTATGGAAACTCAGTGTCGTGAGTTTGTTCGTCAGCTATCGACATCTATCACGGAATTACGAACATTATATTCGGACCAAGCTATTAATTACTAATTAAGTTTGATATGTAAACATCGTAAGAAGGAGAACCAGGGATGTTACTGTCAAGAAATGGTTAGGTCAAGATAGGAAAGTCGAAAACGTACAGCTAAATAGTAGACCGTTCCTGTTAGTAAAGTCTTAGGTTAAGATCGAGGAAAGCGGCTGAAGTAGACGCGTCCGTAGTGTTCTTGCCTTAAAATGTACTCGTTATCTGGTAATTAACAGGTAACTTGTAACAAGTAAAGCTGCTTTGTTTACATATTACTGTACAGTACATACATCGATATGACCGTACATACACATGCATGTCGATTTAGGTCGTTTTAAAACACTTTAGTATGTGATATGTTTATTACTATTACATAAAAAGATAACCTTGTGAATCTTGACGAAATATGGTAGCTTACTTAAATCAGGAAATATATAAGTTTAAATACGTATTTATTCATAGGCCTTTTGTTAATATACCTGTATATCTAAAACGATTCACCGCTCATTGTGTAACAGCGATCCCACAACTGTAGTTAGAAAACGAAGACGTTCTTTTTGTTTTGCATGAGGAATTGTAGTGAAAAGGAACGAAGGCAAACGTTTTGATCTAAAAAACGTTTATGAGAAGAGGATGTTCAAGATACATCGAAATATCTTTTGAATTGTTATTCATCCACATACCAGTTATTCCACTTCTTGAGCATACAGCGTCATAATACGATTGAAATCCTGATAAAATGGAACTGAGAACGGAATTTAAAAGTTCGGATAATGGCTTGGGTGAGCAACTATAGGTGCTGGCAGTTTTCGCGAAGCAGATTTAACGTCCTATAAACAGCTAAGGTCATTTAATGACGTGTCTCCATGCTTGTTATGTATGCCTGCATGTGTGTATGTGTACCGGATACAGGATGTGTTGGTGTATATGCTTCCTTGTTATAACGCAGATCTGATGCCGACTTTAGAGTGCTATCTCACTGAAATATCATTTCTAATGCACCCAGTACAGCATTACGCCCGTTCATATTATACTGACAACGGGTGAACCAGTTAATCAGCAGGGAATAAAAAAAATCCATTTTAAGGACTCTGTTATGTCCCGGCCTGGGGACAGGACCCATTGCCTCCTCACCTGGACGAACGTTCAACATTACAGCCAAAGATAAGGTATTGCAAAGCAAGACAATAGGAAACAAACGGTAGTTAGAAGTGTATATCCCAAATATTGCGACGGATGAAGCAGATTTAAAACAAATCCCCAATTCTGCAGGGGTTTCCGCATTAGCCGCCTCTTACGATTATGCAGTTGGTAATTACAGGTGTATTTATTTCTCAAGTCCCGACCTGCATGGATGGAAATCGCACAGCCGAACATACGCTAGGACATTATGAACGTAAACAAAAATCAATATTCCAGTCTAGAAGTAGTGAAAAGGTTACTAAAATATATTAAACATATTAATTAATATAACATAAAGTCAATATAAGAAATCAACAAAATTAAAAAAAATATATTAATAAATATAACACGTTCGGAGACATAAAACCCCCCAAACATAACATAAAAGAGGACGGAATTTTTATGACAGATAAACGTAACAGGAACATCTTAAGGTGTGTACTATATCATTAAATAGGAGTGATGTGTGTATTAGGAATGCATATCTGTTACAATAATGTTCTGTGTAATCGCTGTTTATCGCCTTGATAGTAACAGGTTAAATAACAGTATGTCTGTATTAAGCATACATGATATTTTGTAAATATAATGTTGTATGATGTCGATGTGTAATGTATTTCGGATGCCTGTCTTTTATACATGTAACAATATGGTAATACATGATTGTATTAAACAGGTCTGACTGTCTGCTATAGACAATGACCTGTCACATTTCTATATAGATACATGTTGGCTGTTAATATATCCTAACAGTTAGACGTGTATTTACAAGTGTTGTGTCTTGTATATTTGTGGAATGCTGATATGTTATACACATTTTATATGTTTTGCAATCTCTCTGGTACAATTAAAGCATCCAATCTTTCTTTATAGTTTGATACCATATTTATGATCATGACGATATCAATTTTATTACTGTTTACCTACTCGAGAACAGACCATATAGGTTATCGGCTATTATGAAGCAGGGTATGCATGGGCAGACAAAACAGGGGACCCCCTTTTGTAAGTATGTGTGTAGGCGGGCAGAAGGCTATTTAATGACCGTTATCTTTAAGTATGATACCCTGCACTTTATCATTCGGGTAGGGGTGAAAACATTTATGTTCAATACTACATTGTACCAACACGGAATTATGTTTGGTTTATAGGGTTTTAGGGATATATAATTACGGGTGCTACGTTAAGTGCAAAAATATAATTTTGATTACTGAAGTATTATATACATATTACAAAACAATATTGTATTGTGTATATTATTACTTACAAAGTACATTGTTTTATAGTAAATCATAATTTTATAATGTAATGAAATATGCATGTCTTATATTGCTTTTAATGAAACCCAAGTCTGTAATCATATGTCTTTTTATTGAAAATACCATGTCTTCAAGGTTGAAAAACTAAATATGCTGTATATGTGTATATTTAAACCTAGCTGTTATATTATCCTACACTGTGCATATTATAGGTATAAGTTGATAAATATTATAGTTATACAGTAACGTAGTGCTGTGTAGTAACCTTTCCTTTACCTCCTAGTGACCTCCTGATTTATTCGTATATAAAAGTCTTGTATATTAGTACACGTTATCTAAAGCAAACAGCGCCTGACGTCGATATGTATCTACGTAATTAGAAATTATTCCGAGAAACCCTGTAGATTTTATCATTATTTGGTATTCATTTAAACATTCGAAGTTGATAAAGATATAACTCCTCGAGGCTTGGTTAACTGCACATGCGATAACTTCATGTGACAAACAGCGCTATCGAAAGAGTTCCAAAACAAAATCAGAATTGTCAAATATTGATGTCTCCTACATTTATATTGTTATTTTTCGCGTGACTATGAATCCCACTGTATTCCGTATGCATTTACGGGGTAGAATGTAGTTGTTCATTGTTTGTTGCTGTTGTGTGTTAGCGCAGTGATTTATCATACCATTGGGTATTGATGGAGTGGAACAATTTACCCTTGTAGTAACGATTTGGTACATGCTGTTGTTTGGTAACATGTTGTTCTATTTGTCTGTGTACAATCGATTTTTTCTCAACAATATTTGCGAAAATTGAAAACGGCTTTAACTAAAGAGGGGTCAATGGTAAACTTGTTGTTATAACATCATTACATAACTGCATATCCGCTTTGTATTCGCGATCTCATAGACTTTTAACAGGACGACAGTATGTGTTGTTTTTGTTTCGTTTCGTTTTTCTTTTCTATTGTTGTTTTAAGTTCGGATATAGTTCTAGTTCATTTATATGTGACACTATTCTTATTTTAATAGTGTGACTACAAAAATGGAATGAGTGACCTACAATTCAGTTAACAACACCTAACATCAACTACATACCAAATGCAATGTTGTTGTCGCCTTTGCATGGATACTACCTCAGGTCATTCTTTTGAGGTTACACTATTATAAGTTTTGGATATGTTAGTTTCTTATTTAAATCAAACACCTAACTTTGGACAGGCATTTAAAAAAAATGATCATTTAAGTTTAAACTCATATTTTGAAGAATACATAGACTTGTATGAAAAAGAGGTCAAAGGTTTGTAAAATATCACTACAATGATAGATTACAGCTTGTACTATCGTTAACCTTTCACCCATCCCGCCGAGATCAATCGATAAATGCAAATCTATTGTAACCCGTTAAGTGAATTTCCCAGTGGGACGACGTCCCAGTTAAGGAGGGTTACGTTGATAAAACACTGTACCGTTATATAAAAATGTTATCTTCGAGTGTCGCAGTTTTAAACTTCCTAGTTCATACTGCACGTGCATATCATGTTCCTTGATAAATAGTCTACAATCTGATCATATTAACCATTAAATGTATAGCATATTTCTCCATGACTTCATCAAATAATCAATATCTGCAAATTCACATCATATGTCTGCATGACCTTATCACATTATCTTAAGCTTTAGTTTAATGTTATA